CTCCCCCGTCATACCGTTGACGAGGGTGTATAACTGTGTACCGTCGTCTACGGTAGACGCACCCTGGATCAGGGTCGACGCCCGGCGTCTTCCAGCCAGCATACGGCGTCGCCGTCGCCTCTGTACAGAGGTTCTATGTCTCGGTGAGACCAGGGTGAACACGCATTCCGCGTCGTCCGATGTCACCCCCACTGTCCGCTCCTTTGGAGCTCCGATGTTATCTACGTCATCCGACGAAGAAGTGCTAACCCCGCATTCTTCGCACAGTGGATAATGTGCCACTCCATGCGCATCTGAAGGGCCGTGCCCAAGATGCCTCGGACTCTGTCCGACCACGCCATCAATGGCATGCAGCGACTGCTTGGCAACAATAGCAGTGCTTAGTGGTTTACGTGCCACTTCACGTGCATCACGAGGGCCTCGCCCTCGATGCCTCGGCTCTTGGCCGACCATTTCACGCATGATATGCAGCGACTGCTCCGAAACTTGAGCAGTGCTCAGTGGGCTACGCGCCACTTCACCCCGCGATCCACGCTCGGGACTCCTGTCCGATACACCGTTGTTTTCTACCAACTCGGACATTCCAGTGTCCAGCACGTTGACCGTCTCGGTCCAGTGCTGGACACTGGAATGTCCGAGTTGCCGAAGCTCCACCAGGAGATGTGTGCGTAGCGCCCAAGGTCTTTGACCTCCAATCAATCCATGGCTCATGGTGTTCTAACCATGCCATCCCTAGGATGAGGTCATACCTTGCATCCAAGTCTAAGACTTGACAGCGTTCCACGCTTTCAAAGTCAAGAAACCTGACTCCGAGCTCCTCAGGGATCTTCGGGACCGTGACACGCGTCCCCGTCGCTAGGCGAACAGTTACGACGTCACCCAACCGCGCTTTCAGCGCCTCAGCATACAGCTAACTTCCCTCCATCGTGGATCGCCGATCATAATTGCCCGACACCCCAGAATCGATGAGGATCTTCAATGGCTTCTAAAAGCCCTTTGCGGTCGCCTCCACGACCAGCAAGCCCGGCTTGCATACACTTTCCGTGATCGAGAGCACGGAGCTCCTCGAGGCTGGGTCCTGTTGACCTTTGTCTCCCTGAGGCTCAACCGAACTCAGTTCTTCCCTAGTAGGTCGCCCCGCGCCTACTGAGTGGTGTCGTCTCCCCGTGAAGAACCAGACTGGTAGGCTTTGGAACAATGGTTCGAAGAACAGTGACGCGATTTGCGCAGTGGGCAACCGCTGCGCAGGTGACGGGTGTCTCCACAGACAAAAT